AAAACAAGTCACAGATACAAGATCGAGCCGAAAGAATGGTTTGAAAGTTTGCTGACCTGCTCAGGTTTTGGAGGCGGTTTCTGGAAAACCTTCCTTGTAACGGTGGTTTACAACCGATTCTTTCGGCATTCACCGTTAAAAAGTTATAAGCGAAATATCGGAGTCCATTATATTTTGATACAGATAGTAGTAGTTAGTTATTTTAGATTTGCTAAGTTATTTTTTATCCATAACACGAAAAAGGGTGAAACATGTATATGCATTCAAGTAAGCGCATGTGGTACATAGAGTCTTGAGGAGTTAATCTTTTATTTCCGCCCGTGTACCTACCACATGCACTTACATGAATACATGAGTGAATCGTAACTTTATCGTAACGAAAACAGATTTACGGACAAAGTGTAGATCCAGTTTAAAACGATCGTAAAGCGGGCAAGGAACACACTTTAAAAAAAACCAAAACGAATAAAAGATAGAGCGTAAAAAATACTACAAAGCTATCTAAAAATAGTTGTGGTAAACTTTTTTTAATTAGGCCAAAAGACCAAAAAGCTTTAATTACACACTAACTGTAGACCCAGTTTTTCAGAATTCTTCTGTCTTTTATTCATCAACGACTGAAAGAAATTCAGTCAGACTGTCATAGAAAGATGCAGCGTGAAAAACTAAACAGGAATATTATCAACTAGTTCTCTGTTTCTCTTATTTCCAGGAAGAATTTTAATATATACCTCAGAATGTAGACAGTTTTTCTTGTAGACCCAATTTCTGCTTATATATTTTCAAGCTGATTTCGATGGAAAGCACCAGGACGAGTCGGGTAGCGCGGAAATTTTTACTACAGATTCACTGAATGATAAGGAACAAAATGTACGAATCAGATTTTCTCTGGGGACACTTTCATTTTTTTTTATCAATTGTACAAAAAAGTTACGATTCACTCACATATACATGTTTCACCCTTTTTCGTGTTATGGATAAAAATAACTTACCAAATCTAAAGTAACTAATTACCAGCAATGAGCGTTTTTCACCATGATGAAAGCATTACTTAGACTTGAATCTGGAACTTGAAATGTCGGAAAGTTGAAAATTTCCTAAAACCTTTCTACTGGTATCGGGTCTCTAGAAGCCGATCGTCAGACTAAAAACTGCTTTTTTGTGCCTTTTCCCTAAAGATACAGCTGTACAAAGCTGAGCCTTACAGATAAAATTTAAAAAACTAAATTGAAGCATTTCCTGTTCGAAACTCAAGATCGAGAAACACTTCGTTTGTGATAAAATGTCGAAAATTAGTTTTAAAAAAATGTTTTTCTCGGTATTTCACTATGAAGAAGATGTTTCCCAAAATTCACTCTAGAAGATGAAATGTAGCAAATTGAGTTTTCTCAGTTTTATTTGCTAGGATCAACTTTGAATTTTCACGGTTCAGCTGGAATCGATACACAATTAGATTCATCTCCCGATATATCGTCCGATGAATCAAGTTAATATTGTCACTAGATACATAACTGGATACATCTAGAAGCTATATCTAGATGTATCAGTCGAAAATCCGATTCAATCCTTTCTCTTTATTATGCATCTAGATGCATCGTGCGATACCCCGTACATTTTTCATGCTTGGATAAACATAGTGATACGCGGTAAGTCAAATTCGTTTTTTATCTACATAAATCGTCTGCTTGGTGTAGAAACAAACGCTCACTGAAATAATGATAAAATCTATTTTCTTCGTATTCTTCGTTGGTACCGTCAGTATCAATAAAATATATTGCGATACATCCAGCAAATGGAAATTCGATTTTGCTCAAGGAAATATTGGGATTTTAAACTTCTCATACAATCGGCTTGTTGCTGCATATGTACGTTAAGCTACGCTTAGTAAAGATCTGATAATGAGGTCAATGAACATTAGAAAGGACTTTCATATTATAGACCGTATGATGTATAATCCTACTTATCATTTTAACATTGATCTTTTGTGTTTCCTCTAGGATAAAACATTTCCACTATTAAATGGTCTTAACATGGCTGTGGTATATTCAAATTATGACGCATGCTCCCTATTTGCGTTGCATATGCATCCATTCGCTGAAGAATTCTTTTACGTTACGAGTGGTAACCGAATGAAAGTAGCATTCATTGATAATACAAGTGAAAAGCTGATTGCAACTGAGCTGCGAGAAGGTCAAGCTACAGTTGTTCCACGTGATTCTGTTCATTATCAACAAAATTTAGACTGTAAACCGGCCGTGACTCTATCGTTGTTCAATGGTGCGAATCCGTTGGCGTTGCTTCCATTCCGAAATTCATTTTCTAATATACCCAATGATGTAATTGAAGCAAGTTTAGGGGGAGGGAAAATGATAAATAACAAATTAATTAACCACATCAAATCCCAAATAGCGAATGTAACATCATTAGTAAACGTTGAATGTTTAAAACGTTGTGGACTTGATAAACCAACAAGACCGAAAAAGCGTTAGTAACGCTACAACAGACACAAATATTCTGTTTTTATTCATTTTATCTTCGAAATCAGACACATGGTTCAATTCAATTTTGACGCTGATTACAAATATGAAATTTTTTGTATTCTAAAACTACGTCGTCATATTTAACATCTGATATTACTAGACCATTTTTTGTGTTGTTTCCTTCTACCGTCTACAGTACTTTCCCCCCTTCTGCAAGTTGCCGGGCATAATAAAGCTTCTCTAAAGTATGAAAGGGTCTATGTCTAATGTTATGGTGAAACAATAATGATACGCTAAGTTTGGAAAGAAAATATATTTACTTATATTCCTCTTGATTTGTATCTATGTTGAACATTCTGATTTTTTCGTACTCTAATGGAGGATCGTAGGCATCGGTATCATCTATTTCTGTTAGTTCCCCAATAAAATCAGTGGATTTTGACCAAGGGGGAAACACCGTACTTCGCTAACTCCGTCACTCCGCGGAGTTTAATCGGAGTGGACGGAGTAGTGGAGTGATCCGGAGTGGCGGAGTGACTCTGGAGTGAATGGAGTTTGATGTTTTCCATTGACGTGCTTTGCTTTCTCAAATTCTGTTTTCATTTGTAGCATTGTTTAGCT